ACTATTCTGACGATGCTTTTCATACTTTTCTGGACCTTGACAGTGTAATTTACTTGGCAGTCAATGGGACAGTCACAAGCCTCCCGGTTTTCATCCAAAATATCTTAAATTGTGTTCCGAAGACAAACTAAGCTTTTACGGGTTTGGAACGACATGTGGGTAAGTGATTAATGACAACATTTTCATTTTGGGGTGGAGTAACCCTTTAATTAAATATATGGTCGTAAAATATAGAGTCACCAATATGTCATTCTGCAATACCTATAAACTTGAATTTCTGGCAAACTCATCTGCCGCTTTTTAGCGTACAATTTCCAGGATATTTTAACAGCGTACAATGATAGTTATGTTTACACTGGTATGAGCGTATGAATGGTATGAAGGGTGGTGGCTAAAAGAAAAGTATAAAAGTTTCCACCAGCAACTTCTGAAAGATACACCGCCACAATGGCACAAACAAGCCTTATCTAAACTCGAAACAGAATCACGAGCTGTTAGTCATAATCTTTTGACACACTAAGGCCCTCTGTGACATTAATGACATAACCTCGTGATCTCACACACCTCAGTGGTGAGAAAGGGGAACATTTGGCATCATATTCACGTCACTTTGATGGGTGGGGAATCTCACCAGCTGTTTTTCCTGTTTTTCCAGTGCTGTCCGGTCTCTTGCAATCTGTCTCTGCGTTCCCCGCAACTCTTTGTTCTGTTCTTTAATAACATCTGTATTATGAGAGGAGATATAGTTATCGATCACCATTTAAATTATCAATGCTGAAATGTCTGAGTCAGATAACAAATTAATGCATGGGGACTACTTCAATAATAGGTCATTTTAGACCATTTAAAGTTACAGGAATGGCCCATTGATTTAACAAACGATTAAATTTGTTTTATAGACCATCTTTGACCCGATATTTTAAGTACTAGCTGTTAGTCTCAAGTTAAGATCAAGAAAATTCCAAATGTTTTCGGTTGCAGTTGTCCAAACACATTCCAGAATAAAAGACACTTCTGTGTTAGTTAGCATAGTGTACCAAAAATATCTCGAATGCCCAAAAATATCTCAAAAGAGATTTCATGTATTAAACAAATTAACAGTGTTTAAGAGTTGTAGTATTAACGAAACCAGTCGATGATTGACGTGAGAGTGTTGCTGGGCGGTTCTGACCAAACAAACAAGCCCTCAGAGCAACAGCAAGAAACTTACCATCGACGGTCTTTTTCTTGAATAACGATGCCATAACTGCAACAAACTCCGTCGACCACGAAAGTAATAGAAAGTAAGTATATCACAATGACTAAAATCAAGTGCGAGTCGCCTATCAAAATATCATGACTATTTCCTGGTTCTTGGCAAGTAGGCGGTAAACTTGTGTCCTTCTGCAGCGATTATTTAATTTTGATTGGTGAACATTGCCGTGACGTTGCACTCAAGTTATCCAATCATAACATTCATGTTGACAAGAACCGCCCATAGCTATTGCAAAACAGAGGTATCTCTGTCGTTCTCACAAACTAAATACGGATTGGATTTATTTTCCCTTTGCCTTTAAAACATAGTCCTCCAGTACAGGGGTTTTCAAATTGTTGCCCGTTGATCCCCAAGGGGCGAAGTAAAATAAATAAATCAATAAAAATAAATAACTAACAAATATTTAAATAAATAAATAAACAAATATGAAACTAACATAATAAAAATTGATAAATTAATTATATTAAAAATAAATACTAAAAATAAATAAAATAAAATACATATTTGATAAAGTAATAATAATAATTTATACTATATTTATAACAGTGCAGTATTATAGTGAGTAGAAAAAATATATAGTATGTAACTTAATATAAACTAAATATTTTCCAAAAATATATTTGGCATCATTTAATATTGTACATGAAAATATATAGCTGCATTTTAACATGTGTTAGCGCCTGTGGCTACTTTTGATGCTATTCATATTGTAATCTGTTTTTTTCACATTGAATTTGCAATGCCATATATTCGTGTCGTGTAAATACATTAAGACTATATAAATGCAAACATTTCACTCCTCTAATAATGTCAACAAAAAAAAAGAATTTTATATAATTGTATTATTTGTTATATACATGTCTAATTTATTTATTTATTAATTGATTACGTTAAAATTTGATTTGTTTGAATAAAATAAATAAATACATAGATAAAGTAATAATAATTTGTATTATGTTTATAATAGTGCAGTATTATAGTGAGTAGAAAAAAATATAGTATGTATTTTAATATAAACTAAATATTTTCAAAATAACATTTTACATATTTTAATATTGTACATGACAATTTATAGCTGCATTTTAACTTGTAGAATGGGGGCCCCTTCCATGAGGATGATCATATTTGGGGGTCCGTTGCATTTAAAAGATTTAAAACCCCTGCTCTAGTATATTTGAACAGATGTATTCATATTTATTACGACGAAAGGCAGCCAATCACAGCGCAGAGATTTGACGCATGCTCACTCAGACGTGGAGCGAGAGCTCGTGTGAATCCGTCTTCGCTCGGCAAATGTTCGTATATCTTCGTACGCAGTTCGGCATGTTCCGCATACACCTCGGATCCTGTCGATCGTGAATTAGGGCTGTATCTCGTCCCCCTCGTTCTCTGTGTGTTGTTGTCCTCGGTGACGCGACGGAGGTGTAGCCTGACGCGGTCTCTTACGTGTCGGACTAAATAAAAGTGGAGCTCCGGAGGCCTGGGAGTGACGAGGCGAGTCTGTGTCGGGTAAGAAGAGACGCATTCGTGGGGGAAAGAAATAATACACGTGCCGTTTTAGTGGACATGTCGCAATGCTCGATCCGTCTGTAACAAAGAGATCATGGCGGCGGTGGGCATGTTTCTCAACAGCTCCGACTTGCTTGCAGACAATGAGTCAGTCAGGCAGTCGAGTGAGGAAAGCGCGACGGTTCTGCAAAGTACATGCGTTTATGGAAAGGATTGGAGATCCGTACTAGTGTTATGAATGCGATCGCCCGTCCACGGCACCTTTTGATGGAAATACAGCTCATGAAATGATTTTTTTTCTTGGCTCCAGCATTGCTATATGGAGCAGTCGAAGCTCTCCGTTACATTAAAGATCTTTACTACATTCTCGCCCATGCAGAGGTTTTCTGTACCACTAAATCTCTGTAATCCATTGTGGTTTTAATTGGTAAAAAATCAGAGAGAAATGCATTGCTCTTGAGTATTATTTTCTTCAATGTACACCCTAAAACAGACTGATTTTGTGTTGCATACTTGCTTCATTTAAACTGGAATGCTATTTTACAAGTCGAAACACGCCTGAAAATGCAAGCACCTAAAAATTGCCATAAATAGGCATTTAAAAATAAAAAATAAGTAATTTTGATGGCATCCTGTTTGTGTATGTGTGTTTTGTTTTAACTAAAGTTACGTCCATACATCCTTAAAAACCACAGCTCAAATCTGACTGACAGCTGTATACGGAAGTAAAAAAGGCGGCAAAATGGAGTCACCATGGTTTGTTGAGCACGATGCTTAATATGTCAGTTCCAACATTATTACTCATTACAAAACAGACATAGTTCCATCAAAATGAATTTCGTTAATGTAAATTAAGCATATCTCGTACATGTGTTAGCGCATGTGGCTACTTTTGATGCTATTCATATTGTAATCAGTATTTTTCACATTAATTTTGCAATGCCATATATAGGCTATTCTTGTCGTGTAAATACATTTAGACTATATACATGCAAACATTTCACCCCTCTAATAATGTCAAAAAAATGTATATAATCTATTGCATTGTATTATTTATTATATGCATGAATATTTTAATTATTAATTTATTAAGTTAAAATGTAATGCCTATAAATACATAAATGCTTTATAGGACAACCCTTCAGGCTACACAATTGAATACTCAAAATGAAACTATGGCAAACCCAATTTGTGGGCAGGGTGTTTTTGTGGTCACACCGTTTCAGATACCATTTCCCTTGTCAGGAGACACTGGTGGCCTACTTTGTATGTTCATAGTATATTTATAGTATCTTGTATATCTGCCAAAGTAAAATATTTTTAAATTAAATCTCCAGGCAATCTTAATGACCATGGAGGCAGGAGCAGATGTCCAGCAGGGCAACACTGCAGTCTCAGAGACAGACACTCAGCAGATAGCCACCTTGGCGCAGGTCAGTTTCTTGGATCGTATGTTTTCAAAGCACATTTGCTAGCATTGCCAGGCTGACTTTAATTAATCATGTAGTTGTGGGTTGATATTTTAATTCAGTCCAGTTCTTAGTTCAAGAACATAGTTCAGTCTCTGTGTCTCACCCTGTTATGCCTCCCCCACGCAGGTTTCCATGGCAGCAGCACAGGTATCAGCCACTGGGCCCACTGTGACCTTAGTTCAGCTGCCCAATGGGCAAACGGTGCAAGTTCATGGGGTCATCCAGGCAGCCCAGCCCTCCGTCATACAATCCCCACAGGTGCAAACTGTACAAGTAAGCCTGACCTGATGGTTCATTTCTGGGAAAACCGTAAAATTGTAAAAAATCATTACATAATTCTGTGTCTGTCTTAGCAGACCCAAAATTATATGCAGAATGCACAGTGGATTAAATAGCCTTAATTTAATATGTATATTCTTCTGTTTGCTAATCTAGAAGACTTGATAATTTAGAAATAATACCTGAGGTTTTTTGCTATCGATATACATGTGTTCTTTTGTTGTCTTTGTGTTAGATTTCTACCATTGCTGAGAGTGATGATTCACAGGAGTCAGTGGACAGTGTGACAGATTCCCAGAAAAGAAGAGAGATCCTGTCTAGACGGCCCTCATACAGGTACCTGAATGGATTTGTAGTTTCGGTGCAGTGTCCCAGTTAATTACCTAGACTCTGGCAGGCCACCACAGTTTCATAATGAACCAAAAATATTTTTACTTAATGACTTTAAAAGAACTCATTGAATGTTGTGTTTTGCACCATTGCTTTGGCAAAGCATCTGTCAGTTGATCTAGAATCGAAACCGTACTATGGCTTTGTGCACTTATTAAATCACAAAAGGCTGCAAGTTGTGTTTCAAAGCGAAGTGCGGCACTATATTCATTAGGGATGTAACGATTCACTCAACTCACGATTTGATTCGATTCACGATTTTGATTTCACGATTTAGTGCTGGGTGGTATGACCAAAAATTTATATCACGGTATTTTTCAAAATTATACAGTTTTCACGGTACATGATGGTATTTTTTTTTTTCATGCATGACCGGGTGTTAAGCATGTTTTCTACTGATTGAGAGAGGAAATACTGCAGTATATTTGCTTAGAATGCCCTATATTACTGTCATGATGAGTGAATATTGTAAAAAAATACCACACTGCGTAATTTCACAAACAGCGTGAGTGAGTCACCACTCGCGCGCTCTCTCTCTTTCTCTCTCAAAATACGCAAATGTCTTCATAGTTTTGGTGCAGTGTTTCCAGTTAATTATGTAGACTCTGGCAAGGAACCACAGTTTCATAATGAACCAAAAATATTTTACTTAATAACTTTTACAAAGATCTTGTTGAATGTTGTGTTTTGCACCATTGCTTTGGCAAAACATCTGTGAGTTGATCTAAAATCAATATCGCAAAATGTCTTAGTGCACTTACTAAATCACAAAAGGCTGCAAGCTGTGTTTCAAAGTGAAACGTGGCACTATATTTATGCGAGTAGCTCACAATACGGTTTTTACATCATATTACAGCGTCTCGGTTCACCTTGAATGCAGCAAGCTTCATCTTTACATGCACTGTGAGTTTTCACATTTGCATACTTTCCAACATTTTTGTGGACAGATGATTACAGTATTTCACCAGATTTGTAATGAGACGCGTTTGTAAACCTGTTTTCACTGAAACTGCAGTTTTCTGCCAAAATAACAGCTCTGGGGTTTACCTCTTGCAAGTGAAAAAATGAAGACAAAATTTACAATACAAGTTGTTCCAAACCTCTATGAATTTCTTTTTTTTTTGTTAAATGCAAAAAAGGATATTTTAAAGAATGTTGGTAACCAAACAGTTGCTGGTAGCCATTGACTTCCATAGTATGGACAATAAAATAGTATGGATGTCAATGGCTACCAGAAACTGTTTGGTTAACCATTTTTGTTTTTAATATCTTTTATACGCAGTTGTAAATGTGAACCGATGGATTGACAAGAAGCTAATACTAATACATTCTAAAAATCTAAACAATTAAGATACTAAGGTAAATTTATGTTACTATTAGTGCTGGGCAACGATAATTTTTTTAAAATCGTGATTAATCGCATGATTGTCTGCGATTAATCGCATTGTTATGCACAAAATTCAATAATGCATTCAAAAGTAG